GCAGAGATTAGAGGGTTGCTGCGGAAACCGGAGAGCTGCCCCCCCACCCCCGCAAGAGCCTACAGCAGACAAGGGAGCGGCACCCCCCGAACGGGCGGAGGGAGCGGGCCTCTCTGAGGCTCTGCCTCCAGACCCCGGGTTCTCAGAACTGGGAGAGAACCGATGGGCCATAGTAAGCCAACCGGTCTGTGCCCCGAGAAACTAACACAACACCCGAACCCTTTAGGATGCCCTTTTCTATTCTTTCGGCTGAGGACTCTGGGCCTGGGCCATCCTCAGAGGGAGCAGGGGCTCGGAACTGGGTTTACAGGGTCCTTGCGCAGCTTTGGGGCAATGCGACCCACTGAGTCTCAGGGCCCATGCCGCCACCGCGCAAGCAGCTATAAGGCAATAGGGGCGGGGAATGGCTAAGAGCACAGGCTGGGCCGTTGACTGCCTGACTCCAAACCCCGGCCCCTCCGCTTCTTACCTGCACGACTGCAAGCACAGGACTGACGGAGCTGTTCCGTCTCCCCACCTGCACACCAGGGTCGGCGTTCTTCACCTGCAGGCCCTGTGAGTCACGTGATCGCTTGCAACTGCTCGAACCTGCTTGTAGCACAAAAGCGGCCCCAGATGATGTGTAAACCAAGGGGCCTGGTGTGTTCCAGTACGACGTCAGTGACACGAGCCTGTGGGAGGGCCAAGGCAGGGGACTCGGGCCCGGAGCTGCAGCTCATGGAGCTGTGGTGCTGAGGAATGGAGAAGCAAGGCCCAGGCCCTCTGTCCACTGCAGGGTCGGACGGCGCTGCCCAGACGCGGCCCCGGGACCAGCAGCCCTTCCGTCCTTCGCAAAATGAGAATGTGAGGACATTGTGGCGTGTTCTTCCTAAAATCAAATGTATCGATCCCTGTTGAATGTGGCCCTGCCCTTCTTAGCTTTCGTGGTGTACAAACGTCCTCTCGTAGAAGACGACGGTGCGTGTTTAATGTCCTACCCGAGCTCCGCCGGCGAGGCTGCCCTCCCACGCCTGCACCTCGGACCACCCAGGAGTCCAGCTCCTGACGGGGCGTCCAGAGGCTGTGCTGCAGCCTGAGCTTCCCAGGGGCTGGAGAGGTCGAGGGCGTCCTTCTAGAAGACACTCTTCAGGGAGGGAACTGTTCCGAGGCCCCAGGCGGGGCTGGTGCAGCCCTGGGTCTCCCCGCCCTGCCCGCCCCGCCCCGGAGACTGGGTGGGGTGGGGTGGGGTGGTGGCTGGGGTCCGTCTCAGCTCAGCCGCTTCCTGGGGAAGTCATTTGACAGCTCAGTTTGATCATCTGTAAAATGCGGGGGGGTCATCGCGCTAGGCTCCTCATTGAATGGGCATGAGGGTTAGATCGGCCAGAAATTCTCAACCTTTTCCATCTCATGGCACACATAAATGAATTTCTAAAATTCTGTGACACATCAAATATATATATATATATCTTGACGATCTGACAAAAGGGAAATAGGTATAATTTTCATTCATTCCTGCCAGACAGCTATTATTGTGTTGGCTGTTGTCATTTTTTTTTATTTGACCCTCTAAGGGAAAAGAGGTCATGCGCTCACGTTCTCATTTTGCGAAGGACGGAAGGGCTGCTGGTCCCGGGGCCGCGCCTGGGCAGCGCCGTCCGACCCTGCAGTGGACAGAGGGCCTGGGCCTTGCTTCTCCATTCCTCAGTACCACAGCTCCATGAGCTGCAGCGCCCGACCCTGACGAAACAGTCAGGTGTTGCACGCTTTAAAAATCCTTGCGGCGCGCCGGGTGGAAATTGCTGAAATACGCTGACGCAGGGGAAGCCCTAAGAGCAGCGGCCGGCGCGTGCAAGATGCCACATATGTGTCTGCTTTTGTTCGCTGACCTTACCTCGGCCGCTGAGGAGACGGAGGTCAGAGAAGGAGGGAGAACATTCCCGATCAGGCAGGAGGATCTCGGGGGCGGGGGGCACCCTTTTCCCCTCCACGGGCCCCACCCCTCTGGGCTGTCCGAGGACCTCTCGCAATATCATTACTTGTGTCTGTACCCTGATGCCCTCCTCTTAGACTTGAGTCTCTCTCTTCTTTTTTCCCTCCCTCTCCGCCTCCCTTCCTACCTTCCTTCCCTTTTTTTGTGGGGGTGGGGGGTACCTGGCGTGAAGCCTCACTCATTCTGTTTAATGCACGAAGCAAAAGAAGCTGTTTAATAACCAAATGGCTGGATAACAGCTAAGAGTAACCCGGCCTTCAAAGGCCCGGAGCAGTGGGGGGATTCTGCCTCTGTCCCCAGCCCCCTCCTCGGGACATGGGGCACTGTCTGCAGACATTTTTGGTTGTCACAGTGGGAGGGGACCTGCTCCCGGCCACTCGTGGGTGGAGCGCAGGGGTCACCATAAACAGGATTCAGTGCACAGGACAGCCCCCCGTCAAAGGGTTATCCCACCGCGACTGTCGGTCTTGCAGAGGCTGAGATGCCCTGGTCTGAAGTGAGATTCTGCAGGAGAGAAGAGAGAACCCCAAAGTCAGGTCACCCCAACTCCTGAGCTCTGCGGCGGGCCTTGAGGGGGCCTTTAGAATGCCCGGGGCCGCCGTGCCCTGCCCCCTCTGCTGGCCCAGCTGACTCTCTGTACGACTCTCCTTACTCCCGGCGGCCGGCCCTTCGGGAGCCCCGAAGACCCGTCAGGTCAGTGCATCTGATCACCCTGGCGCCGTCAGCCGCGTTCCAGAGCCTCCCACTCCACAGGGGGGTGGTGTGGGGCACTGTTCAAACAAGCCTGTCTTTTCGAGCCACAGAGAAATGGGAGATGACATTTCCTAAGGGCGGCACTTTGTAAAAACGCCAAACCTAATCCGAGGGCACAAAGAACTCTGTGGAAATCAGAACTGACTGGAGGAGCGGGGGCGGGGCTGGCTCTGTAGCGGGGTTGTTTTATTGTGCTTGTTGTCCTCGTCAAAGAAGGACTTTCGACAACGTTTCTCTAGGTAATAATGACTTCTGATGGCTCTGAAGACAGCAAATATTACCGTGGCTTCACAAATGCCTGCGCTTCATGCCCCTCATTGGCGTCCACATTGTTGATTTCCATGGCATCTTTGGCTGCAGATGAGTGAATATTAAGACAAGGCAGGTCAACTGATTTTTCCACTTTTCTTTTTTTTTTTTTTTAGATTTTATTTATTTATTTTTAGAGAGAGTGAAAGGGAGGGAGAAAGAGAAGGAGAGAAACATCAATGTGTGAGAGATGTATTGATTGGTTGCCTCTTGCATACATACCCCCAACTGGGGACCCGGCCCACAACCTAAGCGTGTGTGTCCTGACTGGGAATCGAACCAGCAACCTTTCAGTTCACAGGCTGTCACTCAATCTACTGAGCCACACCAGCTAGGGCAATGTTTCCACTTTTCCACTGAAGAAAAATGTGTCCAAAAGGAAATCCCAATACAATGCTGTCTTAAAGCTCTCCTGTTATGTTCAAATGCATTTATTTTTTTTTTAAGATTTTATTTATTTATTTTTAGAGAGGGGAAGGAAGGGAGAGAAACTTCAATGTGTGGTTGCCTTTCACCTGTCCCCCACTGGGGACCTGGCCCCCAACCCAGGCATGTGCCCTGCTAGGGCAGTTCCCCTAGACTGGGAATCAAACTGACGACCCTTTGATTCACAGGCTGACACTCAATCTATGAGCCACATCAGCCAGGGCTGCTCAAATGCATTTAGAACACTCAAAAAAGCAAACAAGAGTTTGGCTTCTTCAAGAAAAAGAAACAGCCGTAAACCACAATCAAGAGAAAGCTGGACAAACTTGCAGAACTGTGGTCCAGCTAATCCCTTGGGTATAGAAAGTAGGCACTGATTCTGGGAGAGGAGGGACCAAGGGTCTGGTTGCTAGGCAATGGTTCCCATGGGGAGGAGAACATCATGGTTTGGCTATTGACACATAAAAAAATGGGCCAGGGCAGAAGAAAGGACAAAGCACAGCCACTCCTCCTTCCTCTTCACTTTCTGATCTGGGGAAGGAAATATATGCAAATGAAGACCCAAAGGGTGGTTGCGGGTTTGCTGTGCAATTAGCAGGGTTGCTCTTTGAAGGACAGAAACAAGCTAATTAGCGCTGTGCACAGAAATCCTCTTGACTTTCAGATAACGCTGGAGAAGTGTCGAGGGTTAGCTCTTTGAACCCGGGCAGCAATGAAAAGGAACAGTTGCAGGTTTTGCTGAGAACTGAAAGGAAGTCAAAGGGGCGCAGAGGTTGCAGGCAGTTGCGCTTAGTGTCAAATGGTGTCCTCGCGTCTCTGAGAAGCTGTGTTGCTGAAGACAAACCATGCACACTCTCCGAGCTTCAGTTTTCTCGTCCATAGCTGACATAATGACAGCAGCTACCTCAGAAGGCAGTTGTGTGAATGAAGAGTTAATGTCTGCAGCACTTAGAATAGTGTTTGCCGTTAGTAAGTACAATATGAGTAAGAGTCACTACGATTCTGCGTTTCTCTCTTCTTCCAGATAAGAAGCAGAAGACGTGAGTTCTTTATGCATTTTACTATCGTGCGTTCTTTTTCTGTCTGAAGTCTGCAAAATCCTGGCAGCAACTCGACTTTGTGTATGGTTGTATCAGTTGTGTATCAGTCGGGATGTGTAGACCGTGCTTGGTAACAAGCATGAACACGCCCTGATCCCACAGCAGCTGCCCCGCCCTCCACCCACCCTCCGGGAGGCTGGGGGTTACCAGGTCTGGGTTAGAGAGGTCCTAAACCCTGAATGGATTTTGCTGCCCTTCCATCGGCACCCCGAGTACCAATGCCCTGGAGGAGGCCAAGGAAACCTGATGCATTCTGCTGTCTCCCACGGTGGTGGTTCTGAGGCTTTTAAAAAAAGCTTCAATTCCATGCCAATCAACTTCTCCGCCACTTTGGTCCTGGGGTCTGCTCCCACTCTGCACTCCGCAGGCACCCCCTTGCCCAGTGGTAGGCAGCCCCGGGCCGCAGCCTAAACCTATCTCTCGTTCTGCCCACCTCCTTCCAGGCCTCGAGGAGATCCAGTGCTCCCTGCCCCTGGAGAACAGGAGGGTGTCCCTCCGCGAGCTGTCGGAGGCCAGCTTCAGCGAATGCAAGTTCAGCCTCTCGCTCACAGACCTGTTCATCATCATCTTCTCCGGCGTGGCTGTGTCCATCGCCGCCATCATCTCCAGCTTCTTCCTGGCCACCGTGGTGCAGTGTTTCCAGAGGTGCACCCCCAACAAAGACGCCGAGGAGGAAGATGAGGACGAGGACGACTGAGCCACCCCGCCCACGCCCCGCTTTCAGGAACCCACGCTGGTGGCTCCCCTCCAAGAAGAGAGGGAAATGGCAAAAGGAAAACGACCACCGCCAGTGCCCAGAGCACAGAGTGGCACTTGCTCGGTGCCTCACACCCGGGCGGGCACAGTGGGCGGGACCTCTGAGCTCAGAGTCTAGAAGCCGCGGAGCCAGGCGCTCAGGAAGCATTCCTGGAGGAGGGGCTGCCTCTCCGCCTGAGGTGTGTGCGTGTGGGACGTGATGGAGTCGGGCTTCATAGCCGCTGGCTGAAAACCAACCTAGGGCATGTGAGACTAGCAGCTCTTGCCCACGAAGATGATATGGGGATGTCCATGTCCCTGACCTGGCCCGGCAGACCACGCCACGCATCTCCTTCCTCCCAAGAGGCGGCAGCTCAGACTGTGGGGGTTGGGTCTCCGCTCCCTCTCCCGCATTTGGCTAGAGTGGCACCGAGGAGAGAGCTCAGAACTGGCCACAGGGCGTTTGTTGTTACATTTTGGTGAGCGGGTCGGGAAAACTTTCGTCTCTGGAACTCAGACCCTGATCCTTACCCGTAGAGGCAGCAATCCAAAGAGGAAGGGCAGGCGTTTCGTTCAGCCGTCAGGGCCTCTGCTCAGAGTTACTCTTCCCTCTGAAAGTGTTTCCCTTCCCTGTCCCCACTCTCAGTCCCCTGAGTCCCTCCTCAGCCAAACAGCACCTGGCCGTTCTCTGGGCTGACCCCGTTCCAGGACATGCGCTAAAACCTTCCTGGTGGCCAGGCTTCCAGAAAGCAGGTGGCATCAGAGCCACACAATGGTACAATATGACAAAACAAACAAACTGGGGCTTGGCCTCTGAAAAACCTCCATCCCTGACCCTTGGGTGTGTGTGTGACCATTTTTTGGAGCCTAGGTTGTGACAGGCAGTGTTTTCCAGGGTTGGGAAGGGGCACGCTGCTCATGGACGATGTTGAAAGAACGTCCGTCCAGGGCCCAGTGGGTTAATGCGCGCCAGCCTGGGGCAAACCCTCGGGGCAGCAGCCCTGGCTGGGCCTTGCTGGGTCCAGCGGTCAGGTGAGGGGCTCAGGGGATGCTCCGGGGATGCTGCTGGGCGTTGCATCTCCATTGTTCTCCATAATACACGCATGTGTCTGCCTCCGTCGCTCCTTTCCAGCTCTGCTTCCACAAAGAATTACTGAGGGTTTGCTGGGTGCCAGGCATTGACTGGGAAAGACAGGCCCCTGCTCGTGTGGACGTCCTCTTACAAGCGGTGAGGAGCGCCTTGACGGGCATAGATGAGGTCTTGTGACAGAGTGACCAGCAGAAGGCATTCAAGAATGGGCAGCTGGGCCCTGGCCAGAGTAGCTCAGCTGGTTAGAGAGTCCTCCTGATACACTAAGGTTGCAAGTTTGATCCCCGGTCAGGGCACATGCAAGAATCAACCAATGAATGCCTCAATAAGTGGAACAAAAACTCTCTCTCTTTGTCTCTCTCCCTCCCCCCTTGCTCTCTATAAATAAATAAGTAAATAAATAAAGTGGGTAGCTGGGTGTATTAGGGCTCACTAGAAAAACAAAACCAATAGAGGAGATGTGTAATCTATCTAGCCATCCATCTATCCATCTATCCATCTATCCATCCATCCATTCATGCAGGGAGGTTGTAAGGAATTTGCTCACACGCTTTTGGAAGCTGAGAAGTGCCATGATCTGAGGTTGGCCAACTCGAGAGCCAAGAGAAGCCGGTGGTCTGGCTCCAGCCAGGTCCAGAGGCCTGGCCACCAGGTGCGGTTCAGCTGGAGGGCGTGAGAAGACCCCGGTGAGGCAGGCGGGCAGAGCGCTCAGGACTGTCCGCCTTGCGCAGTCCACACGTTCTAACGCCGATCTCCTCCAGAAAGATCCTCACACACACACACCGGGAACGACACATCCCTGGCCACCGGGCAGCCCGATCAAGTTGACGCATAAAATGACCCATCCCACTGGGGAAGGGCTGTGATTGGGTGGCTTGGAGCTGAACCCTGCCTCCTTCTCTCGCCTCCTTGCCGGCCTCCCTCCCTTCTTCCACTGTCTCTGCTCTTCTCCCCCACCCCTGACGCTGGAGGAGACTCTTGGTAACTCCTTCGAGCCTCCAGCATGCTTGACTCCAGGGCAGGAGACCCCTGGCTGGGAGTGGCTTTCTTCTCCCACTGGACAGATGGGGAAGCTGGTGGCCACTTCCCAGACTCTAGGGAACTTCAGCGGCTGAATGACCACTTCCCTAAGTTCCGCCCTGAGTGCAGGTAACGCTTCCATTGAGGAAACCACATAGGCAGACTGCAGTTGGTCGGTCATCCTGAGCCCCCAGGTGATGCTCGAGTGTCGGTCTAAAGGTTGCAGCCATTATTTACACCTTGTTATGAGAGAAGGTTCCGGAAGAAGGTTTTCAGATCAGGAGGGAAGGGAACGCCACTGACATGGCGCCCCCTGGAGGGAAGATAAAACATGACAAGGAGGACCACGCGCTCCCAGGCTGCGAGTGAGACAGAAAGCAATCCGTTGGTTCGGCACCTCCCAGGCTTAGCCGCAGACTCAGCGGAGCAGTGGCGGAGACGAGACGAGACGAGACGTGCGGGGCTGGAACGCTGCCTGTCACCACAGTCTCCGCCCCCTGCCTCCCGGAGCGGCCTATCAGGACCCAGCTGGGCCCCCAGCAAAGTCACACTGTGTTTCTCCCAGGATCCTGGCAAGGAGGTGTCCCGAACTGTGGAAATAGCAGAAGACCCTTTTCTAACAGGTTCTGGTGAATGAATTCCCTCCTAACGAGACCATTTTACTCCTTATCTGCATCAAGGGGCTCCTTCTGGTCAGTGAGCGCGGACCCTGCAGGGCATAGGGGCCAGGGGTCACTTCCCGAATGAGTGAGTGACGAGGGGAGGGGCACCCCGGGCTTTCTGAGCACCAACCAACCAACCATCATTTCGGCCGGCTGCACCCAGCTTTGGAACGAACACGATGCTGAGGAAGAGGAAGAGCTTTACAATACAGCCAGCGGAAACCGTCGCTGCCTGGATGTAAAGTTTCCGTGAAACACTGGGGACGCTGGGGACAAGCGGGACGTCCGCGGGGTACGCTGACCAGGAGCCACAGCTCCACTGGGAAGTGGCCCTTTAGACGGGACAGGGCACAGACAACAAGCGATGATGGTTCCAGGCTCCCTGATTGCGGTATTGGCCATGGCAGTGACCGTGCTCTGCGGCAGCGGACGGCCTCCAGTGCAGCAGCCAGGGCCCTCGGATCTGCACGTGTGTCATTTGGGTCTCGGACGTCACCCCCCCCCCCCCCGCTCAGAATCACTCTTGTTGCAGCAACCCGTATAATTTTCCGCACGGTGTGCACCGCGATGTGAAATTATCCCGTTTCTTCGTGTGTCGTCTGTCTCTCTGGACCAGAACAGGAGCTGCCCTAGGGCAGGAGCCTGGGCGGTCTGTGTCGCCGGTGGTCAGAGCAGTGCCTGGCACTTAGTAGTGGCCCGACAAGATAGCACGGGCTTGGAGCGCAGACCAATGAGTTCCAGGCACCGCACTAGAAACGCTACAGACAGGAACTCCATTCGAGCATCCTCACAACTCCTGGCGAGAGCTGCCATCGTCCCGATCTTACAGATGAGGACCCCGAGGCTCAGAGAAGGTGGATGGATTACAGTGTGCAGGGGGAGGCCCTGGCCACGGGTCCTCTGACCGCTGCACCGCGGCTCCATCCAGCTGCATTCCCTTCTCTGGCCGGCAGGGGCAGTGTGGAGTGACACCTTTCCTGGGTCTGTGCACTGGGCTCCAGGAAAAGCCGCCTGCACTGGCTAGGCACACCCAGAACGAGTTTCCTTTGAGCCTCACATCCACCGTCTTGGACCCCAGCAAGAGAATCAAAACCACCAAAGTATCTTGTTTCACGGTCTCACTCTCCCTAAGATCTGAGGACCAGTGATTGTGGCAGCATCACAAATGAATTCATCTTCTCGTGGTAACAGTGGGTGGCACCAGTGCAGCCCTTAGACCTGGACAAAGGGTCCCCACTCCGGCCCTCCTCCAGCTCTGCTCTTCCCCCTGGGGTGAAGAATTTGTGAGGCCAAGGACACCCACCCAGCCAGAATCAGTGCCCTCTTCCAGAACATTCTCTGGGCACTCAGGATTTCAGAATTTCCTGCTCAACTATCCCCAAACTTGGGAGTGAGCCTGTCTTCCCAGCATCCCTCCTCCAGAGGGGACGGAGTGGCCAGGCAGTAGATATCTCTGGGGGACGTGAGCAGGGTTTGGATGTGCGGCCTGGGGTGTCCACACGGGGGAGCACAAGAGCCCTTGAGGCGCAGGGTGGAGCCAGGGCTGGGGAAGGAAAGGGGCAGGTGTCAGATGGCTCAGCCCACACGCCAGATTCCCGGGAATGCAAGAATTGTCATTTAACCCTGGCCTTGCCATTCATTAACAAGGCATTTTTGTCAAGGTAGCTGAGGAGAACATTTTCTTTACCAGTCTATCTTCATTTGTGACTTATGAATGTTTTGATATGGGTGTGTGGAGGGTGTTTGTACTCTGACCTGGCTCTCCAGATGGGCCTGGGTACCACAGCAGGGACCCAAGGGCAGCCACACACCCTGGCGGTGGCCCTGGGACCAGGCACCACTTCTGCCCCGCAGGGCTGGTCAGAACGGGCCTTTATACAGAAAGGCTGAAAAACGTGCTCACACCGGTTGCTTCCACCAGCGACGGAGAAGGGTCTTGCATCAAGCATCCATGCTTCCCTGTTCTCCTCTTCCTCCTCTTCCTCTTCCTCCTCTTCATCCTCCTCCTCACCCACCCAGGGTCCTTACAGGTTCGCATGGCCAACGTTACAGGAAGGAGTTCTAGGTGCAGCCAGCGGCTGGGGCCGGCGGCGTTGCCAACTCTGTTAAATTTAACTGGACCCTGGAGCGTATCAAGGCTCCAGGTCTCTAACATCCCCCCACCACCAACCGAGCCAGCTGTCAGCCCTGGACCTTGGCCATGAACTCATTTCTAGTGGCTTCCGGTGCCCTCCAGAGTGAAAGTAATTTATTATTTGCAAAGTGGTCTAGTGGTACCCAGCACAGGAACACCCCCCCAAAGCAGACCCCTGTGGGTTTCGTCTGCCTGCAGCCAACAAGGTAGCTTTGTGTTTTAAGACCCCAGGCCAATAAACACGCATCCAAACTTTACATTGTTTTTCCACATACATTTTGTGTGTGTGTGTGTGTGTGTGTGTGTGTACACTGTTGTCTGCTATTTACAAATGTAATCCATTTTTTGAAAGCATGCCTTTTTGGGGTGGGAGGTTATTATATTTTGACCTTGGGAACAAATACAACATCTTTTATGGTGCAACCTCACACCCATGTTCAGGACCCTGAGCCGTGAACTCATGTGCTCACTGGAGTCCCATCGGAATCCGAGCTGGGAGCTGGTGTTCCAGGAACCGTTCTTTCAGTGTTTAGCGCTCAGTACAGAACCTCCACCCCCACTCAGGCCTCTGGTCGTGAATAATCAGAGGGAAGCAACCCCACATTAACCAGCCTCGGAAGGAGCCCGGGGTGCGGAGGCCTGGTCAGCCCTGCAATCCAAGTGTCCACGCTGTCCTCCTAGCTGAGTGCCCTTGGCCATGCCCTGGACCCTCTCGGAGCTGCGAGCCCTCCTTTGTGAACAGGATAGCGCTGACTTCTTGGCAGTGAAGTGAGGGAAGGGACCACCCCACAGCCGCGGTCCTGCCCCGCCTCCTCCAGAAGCCCAGCGGCAGGGCATTCGTGCCCAGGTGCGCAGAAGGGCGTGGCCTCCGAGAAGGGGGGCGTCCAGGCTGCAATGTCCGCACCAGAGAACGGGAGTCAGGAGCCGGCGGTCTGAGCACCCCTGGCATGTCCCCGGGAGGGGGCTCAGTTCTCATCTCTACCACTGAGCCATCCGCCCCAGACCCACCGCTGCTGGCCTCCCGGACCCACCGGGGTGCTCCCCGGTCTGCACAGACGTCAAGGCCGCTCTCACACATGGCACCTGCGTCCCTGGGGGCCGCTGGCCAGGAAGACAGTGGAGCCACATGAACAAGGACTCCAGTGATGTCGTCCTGCTGGATCCTGCCTGCCTGACTTCAAATCCACAAACACACGCCCATACCCCCAACCCACAGACACTGAGTACAGCTGGCCCCCGAACAACTCGGGGTTAGGGACGCCGACTCCCACGCAGTCGAAAATCTGTTTATAACTAAGCACTGTGTTGTGGTCCAGTGTTGAGGTTGGTTGAATTCACAGATCCAAAACGTGGGGATATGAAGGGCTGACTGTGTGCATTTATTGAAAAAAAAAAAAATCCGTGTGTAAGTGGGCCCGTACAGTCCAAAGCAGTATTGGTCGGAGTCCCATGTACTTCTGGGGGTGGAGTCTCTCAGGCTTAAAACCCAGATTGAACTGGCGTCCACCAAGTATCCATCGTGTCTGCTGAGGGTCCACCCCGCTGGGGCTCTTGGCCCTCCCCCGCCAACAATCCCACCGGGTTTTGAATTCCAAACTGCCAGTCCTGGAGGGGACCCCACAGGTGACCTTCCGGTCAGCCCTCACTCACCCCACAGAGACACTGTGTTTCTGATGGAAACAGGGACACCACCCGCCCCGCGGGGTCAGACTGGTCCCTAGGCGGGGCCTAGCGCCACACCTCCTGAGATCTCCCCAGTTCCCTAAAAGCCAAAACCTCTGTTTTTTCAGATTTCCTGCTACTCAGGTTTATCAATGCGAGCAAATAGGTTCCCCAGCGCAGGGCTGTCACTTCCTGCAGCCATGGCAACCGCCAGCTTCCACACCAGATCCGGCTCAGGTGGGACAGGAAGGGAAGTGGACTTCGAAGCCACTCAGCAGCTCTGAGGCTTCCCACTTGAATGGCTGGGCTGGTGCGGGGGTCGGGGGGCGGGGTGGGGGAGTGGGGGGGTTGGGTGGGGAGCTATGAGCTCCCCACACCCTGAGCTACCGGGGAAGGTGACAAATACAGGGGTAGGACATCCCCACCGTGGGGCTCTGAGCTGGCACCACGGACATCTCCTCCGTCCCCTGTGTCCCCACGGAATCCTCTGTCCCCAGAGACCCTCTAGACTGCAAGCTCCATGAAGTCAGGGCCTGCGGGCCGCCGTCACTAAATGCCAACCCTTGACCAGGCCTGGCAGGCAGGAGCCCTTAACCCTCACACACTCACTTGTCACCGCTCTCAACTGCCGCAGGGACAGAGGAACACACACTTGCCCGTCGGAAAGAGGGCCGGACCACGTGGTCTCCCTCCCTTAGGGAAGGGGGTCCAAGCAGGCAAGGCAGGGTCCCCGCTGAGGTCACGCCAGCGAATTGCAGAGGGCCCACCAGCACTGAAATGGCTCTAATAGAGCCTTCTCAAATAGTATAACCTGGTTACTAAAACAGCAGAGTAACAAAATATCCTAGCAGAGTCCCGCAGCACTCGCTTTCTGGGTGTTAGGAGGGTAGCGGGGCTGGGTGTGCGGCTCACCTGGCTGCCCCTTAGGCTGTGCGATGCTGCCGTGAGTGGTCCTGCTCCTGTCCCTGTCCCCACTGCTTGCTCACGCCCTTCAGCCCCTCGGCCCCCTCCGGTTCCCCACACAGAGTCCTCGACCTGTCGTCCCCTCCGCCTGGAATGCTCCTCCCCGCCATCTTTGCTGCTTCTTGTCATCCAGGTCTCAGTGCAAAGGTCACCTTCTCAAAGAGCTCTGCCCTGCCCGTCCCCGCTAAAGACCCCCATCTGTCACCATCTAATGTGTCGTCACCCCCTTGCATTCCTTCATGGCTGTGTGGGCTTCCTGGGTCCTGCTGGCCGCCTTGTGTGTTGTTTTCTCTCTGTAGATGGCAACTACGAGAGTGGGGTCCCTGCTTGGCTTGTTTCTCTGGCATCCCCACAGCCTAGGTCTGCCAAGGGCTAGGCAGGAGCCTGATAAACACTGTGAAGTGGATGAATGAGGTGGATGGATGGTGGGTGGGTGGAGTCATTAGTGAGTAGGTGAGTGGGTGGATGGATGGATGGGTGAGTGCATGGATGGATGGGTGGGTGGAAAGTTTTCTACCCTTTCCCAGGACTTGAAAGCCACCCATAAAGTGAGAAGAACGCAACCAAGGAAGGATTTACAAGAAGCACTGACTGCATTGAAGGAAAATGCCTCTTCACCTTGCAGGAGGCACGGTTCTGAGCCCGGGGCTGCTGCGATGTCAGAAACCACCTCTGGGGTTTCTTCCCTCAGCAGTCGCCCATCTTTGCTGCAGCTCAGAAGCTCCCCCTCAGCCGCAGTGTGGGCTGCTGACTGCAGACTCGAACCCCCAGACTTTGCACCTCGCCTTTGGTCTGCGAACCCGGAGAACAAGCCCCATCAGACCTCTGTGTCCTGTTAGGGGTGGAGGCCTCCCTCCCTCTTCTCAGGGTCCTCCCCCGCCCACCCCTGCGACCTCCTCTCCTCCGCACGGCCAGCCTTGGCATCTGTGACTGGGGACTGAGTGATTTCCATTTGTGACCATCTGACCCCTAATTACTTCCATTAATTACTTGGACAGGCTTCCCCTCGCAAAAAGAGCTTAAATCCCAGGGACGGCAGGAAGGGATGGCCTTCCCGTGTCCTTGCCCACCACCTGCCTCCCGCGGGAAGAGACAGTGTCCCGGGGGGGTATTCAATTTTCCAAGGACTGGCTCTCCGTGGGGGTCAGTCCGTCACGTGATGAGTTCCCTCGAAGAGCTTGCTCTCTCGCTCAGCCTGAATCTTCTAAGGAGCCCGGCTGCTGCGGGGGTGGGAGGGTGGAAACAAGTGTGATAGCAGGAGGGGTGGGTGGGGGGCAACAGGAGGCCTGGATTCGCAGCCTCGGTGACCTGTGGCCCCCACTCTGACCCCCAGCACGGAGCAGCCCAGCCCAGGCAGAGCATAACCACCCACAGCGCCCACGCCCCTCAAGCCACCGCCGCACATCCCTGAGACATCCTCAGTCCTGTCCTCCAGACCCCAGGGAGAGTGCGACAGGCCCCCAGGTCATCGGGGTTTGCCCTTCCCCCTCACCTCCCCAAGCTGTCCTGCCTAAATCCCCCTTGTGCTCGATGCTCCTGACCTGGGATGGACTATTCACTCATTCATTCATTCATTCAGCAGCTATTAACCCTTCGCCCCCTGGCCTGGCACTGGCCACACTGCGGCACGGACGCACACAGCCCTGACCACATGCAGTTTTCTACCAGCAAAGACAAGGAAAACAAGGGATTCCACAGACGTTGACGAGTCACACCAGGAAGTGCCAGGCACCTGCGGAGCCCAGCTCAGGGCGAGGGGCCAGGAAAAATGTCTCCGGTGAAAACTAGCCACTTCGTCCATGCCCCTGCACTGGAGGCGACTGAACTCTAGCAGGGGTCCAGCAGCATAAAGCTGCAGTCTGAGGATGCCCCAGCCCTCAGGCTGCCAGGAGAGTTCCTGTTCGTCCCAGTTAAGCCCTCAATACCCCCCCAACTGTGTCCCTTCTCATGTGCCATCTTTAGGCCCAGGCAGTCCCCTCCAGGTCCTTCTGTTTGTCCTCACTGCTGTAAGCAGACGCTCCTGCAAGACATAGGAGGTCTGGGGACCTAAGAGAGAGGTCGGGGTGTGGGAGAAATAGGGATGGATGTGAGAGGGGAGGCAAGGCACTGCGCCTGCGGGTGGGCGGGGCTCATGACCAGGCAGACTCGGGGCACAGCCCTTTCCTCTGGCCCTGGCTGTCTGCTGAGGCCCAAAGACTTCTTCACAATGGCGGGGGGTGGAACCCCAGGGCCGGGAGCGCCCAACACACCTCAGAAGATGGCCGTTGGAAGCAGTGGCTTTCCATCCCAGTGGAGTCCTTGAGATCTAGGCAGAGAGGCACTGGGCCTGCCGCGTTGTGTCCCAGCAAGCCACGGGAAGTTCCTGAGCAAGGGCATGGTCACCCTGGAGTGGCGCTCTGCAAAGCAGGATGGATTCTGACATTTCCTGAATCTCCAGGCTCCCTGCTGCCTGGCAGCGGTGGGAGGGTCCCTGGAGGAGGGGGAGGGGCTCTGGCTGCCCATCGCTCAGACAGAAATAGTCATGCAGCCAGCCCCTGGGAATTCCCTGGATGCCACATGCCTACTGTAAAGTCCTCCCCCATCCAGGGCAGGCAGAGTTCAGGGGAGCAGGGG